CTGGTCTCGAACTCCTGACCTCAAGTGATCCGCCTGCCTTGGCCTCCCAAAGTGCTGGGGTTACAGGTGTGAGCCACCGCGCCCGGCCACTTTTTTTTTTTTTGTAAAGGAGTTTCACTCTGTTACCCAGGCTGGAGTGCAGTGGCATGACCTTGGCTCATTGCAACCTCTGCCTCCCAGATTCAAACGATTCTCCTGCCTCAGCCTCCCGAGTAGTTGGGATTACAGGTGCCCACCACCACAACCGGCTAATTTTTGTATTTTTAGTAGAGACAGGGTTTCGCCATGTTGGCCAGGTTGGTCTAGAACTCCTGACCTCAAGTGATCCGCCCGCCTTGGCCTCCCAAACTTCTGGGATCACAGGCATGAGCCACTGCACCCTGCCCTGTATTTTTTAAAAGCACCATAAGTGAGTCCAATGTGTAATCAGGGTTGAGAACTAAGAGAGACAGTTATGTGACAATGGAACAGACAATTTAGGAAGACTTAGTTCCATACTCAGCCCTCCCACTTGCCACTTGTGAGACCTTGAGCAACTTACTTTTCTCTAAGCCTTAGCCTCCCCAACTAAAAATGAGTTGATGTAGGTATCAAATAAAACAATAAATGAGGTTTCCATTTTTAAAAAACAAACCTCCTATTTGTATTGCATTTTAGTTTAGAAAATGCTTTTATATCTACTATGTCAAATGACAAAAGCCTACTAATGATATAGGGTGAATGGGAAGTAAGGATATTGAAATGAAATTTAAAAAATAAATCAGAGTTAACAAATGTCAGTGGCTGGACTCAATCTGTGTTACAAGTCCAGTTCTAGACATAACTCTATGCAGCTGGTATAAATGCTCAAATACTACATGAAGGGCATACCACTTCAAAGACTACCAACACTGCTGTGTATCCTTCTAGGACTAAGTTGAGTAGCTTACTGGTTGATCAAAGGTTTCAAACAAAAGAAAAACACCTCAGACTTCTTTCATTTTGATGTATGCATTAATTATAGCCATCAAGGGTCTTAAAGCAAAGGGATGAAACCTATGTGCCCATGGCAAATATAGAAAATCTATACCCAAAGGATGAAAGATTGTTAGATCATTTTGCGAGAAATTCTTATAACTCTGTATGTTTCCTACCTCTATGCCCTCAACCTACAGAGATGCAGTTTTGATCTTGAGGTTATGAGATGTATTTTCAGATCAGATTTAGCCTAGGGTTACTCAGCTAGGATTTTCTAGAGCTGCATCACTGAATAAAGTACTTTACAATGGCCTAGTTTCTTCTCACCTATATAGACAAGCCTGATCTAACCACGCCTTTGCAATCTCTCATTTATGTAATTATAGTATTCTAAAGCTAAAAGAAACTGCACATGCCTACTGCTCTCTCTCCTTTTCTAGATGAAGGCACTGACGTCTACAGAGAAATAATTGACCCAAATCAGCCAGCCAATTTATGGAAGAACCAAGACTATAATCCCAATATCTGGACCCCCACTTTCCCATTTAGCACATAAGATTGTCCCTTCAGGTCCCAATGATGTCCGAAGGCTCTGCTTCCATCTGCTGTTTCAGACAGGAATCTTCTTTTTTAAAAATCAGCTTTATTGAGAGATAATTCACTTACCAAACAATTCACTCATATAGTGTAAAATTCAATGGCTTTTAATATATTCAGAGAGCTGGACAGGTATCACCAAAATCAATTTTAGAACATTTCATCACTACAAAAAGAAACCCCACCCCTCTTAGTAATCATCTCCTAGTTTTAATTGCCTCTCCCTCTCTGCAGCCCTAGGCAACCACTAATCTACTTTCTTTCTATGAATTTACCAATGCTGGACATTTCCTACAAATAAAATCATATTACATGTGATCCTTTTAACTGGCTTCTTTCACTTAACGCAGCATTCAAGGTTCATCCATGTCATGGCATGGATCAGAACTTCATGTCTTTGTTACCAAATATTTCATCGTATGGATATTCCACATTTTATTATTTATCTATTCATCAGCTGATGGGGTATTTGGGTTGTTTCCACTTTTTGGATATTATGAATGCTGCTATAAACATTCATGTACTGCTGGTAACTCTATGTTTAACCTTTTGAGGAACTGCCAGACTGTTTTGCACAGAGGCTGCATCATTTTACATTCCCACCAGCAATTATGAGGGTTGCAACTTCTCCACATCCTCACTAACACTTGTTATTATCTTTTTTATTATAGCCATCCTAGTGAGTGTGAAGTGGTATCTCATTGTGGTTTTGATTTGCATTTCCCTGATGGCTAATGATTTGAGCATCTTTTCATGTGCTTCTTGGCCATTTGTATATGTTCTTTGGAGATATGTCTATTTACATATTTTGCCCATTTTAAAATTACTTGTCTTTTGGTTGTTGACTTGCAATAGTTCTTCTTCACATATTTTAGATACACATCCATTATAAAATATGTAATTTGGGAAAATTTTCTCCCTACTGTGGGTTACCTTTTTGCTTTCTGGATGATGCCCTTTGAAACATAAATGTTTTTAGTTTTGATGATGCCTACTGGATGAGAATTTTATTACCCTTCTAGTTTGAGTCAGCAAGAACAATTTAAACTTTTTAATTTAAAAAGTTCTCTTTTACTACATGTAGACACTTGGGCTGAAAGCCTATTTATTTATAGAGATCAAGAATACTGGTTGATAAGATACAATATTAAAAATAAATACACATCTAAATTGAGGGATAAAGAAAGTGGCTATATATGTGGAAGAAGATTGCAGGGCATTTAACACTGCCTCAGATCATAGCCCTTGTACCAAGGAAGTTGGCAGCTACTATATGAATGAATTAGTCAGGAAATCAAAGTTAAGCAACTTATCCACTTCTTTTATTTTATTTATTTATTTTTTTGAGATGGAGTTTAACTCTTGTTGCCTAGGCCGAAGTGCAATGGCGTGACCTTGGCTCACTGCAACCTCTGCCTCCCGGGTTCAAGTGATACTCCTGGCCTCAGCCGCCTGAGTAGCTGGGATTACAGGCGCCCACACCATGCCCGGCTAATTTTTTGTATTTTAGTAGAGATGGGGTTTCACCATGTTGGCCAGGCTGATCTTGAACTCCTGACTTCAGGTAATCCACCCACCTAAGCCTCCCAAAGTGCTGGGATTACAGGCGTGAGCCACCACGCCTGGCCTATTTTATTTTTTTTTAAGACAGGATCTCACTCTGTCACCCAGGCTGGAGTGCAGTGGTATGATCATAGCTCACTGCAGCTTCAAATTCCCAGGTTCAAGCAATCCTCCTGCCTCAGCCTCCCAAGCAGCTGTTACTACAGGCACACACCACCATGCCTGATCTTTTTTTTTTTTTTTTTTAGTAGAGACAAGGTCTTGCTATTTTGCCCAGGCTGGTCTCAAACTCCTGAGCTCAAGCGATCCTCCCACCTCGGCCTCCCAAAGTGTTGGGATTACAGGCATGAGCCCCTGTGCCTGGCCTTCTTTTCTACCCAAACCCCCCAAACCCACAGGGAAGGGAAGGTGGAGTAGAAGGATTCATACACAAAAAGATATAAGCCCAACGTACTCATTAAAAGTCCTCATTATGTCTCATTTCACTTTTACAACAAACATTACAATACATGAAGTCTGCTCATAAGATGTATCTATATATAAAAGCTATGTGTCCGAAATCATCATCTTCCCTGCTCTCCAATCACCAACGCTCCCAATTTGTTCCTTCTTTCTGTGTTTCCTATTTGGCTAATGACACTACCATCTACCATCTCCCCTGATCTGCAGTTAGGCAATTATATTTTTTCTACAACATGAGATGTTTTCTGCAATCCACCATTGTGCTTGTTGTATCTGCCCTACTGTTTCAGAATCTCAGCTCTGATTTTACCATGTAGTCTACTAGCTATGCCTCCCAGTTTCTATTCATCGACAAAGGAGTAAAGAGACAGAGACAAAGGAGTAAAGAGACAGAGAACTAACATTTAAGTACCTTCTGTGTGGAAGTTACCCTATTAGGAACTTTGTATGTAGTCTTCACAACTACCCTGTGAAATGATATCTCACTTCTGAAATAGAAAACTAAATAAAGGTCAAAGCAGTTAACTGACATGCCTAAGATGAGAAAGCTGGTAAGTGGTGACCCAGCTACATCTAAACTAGAAGCTCATGATAACTACTTACACACAGAAAGCCAGTATCTTTAGCACGCTATAAGAACAGGGCCCACAAACATACGGAGAGAGAACTTTACTTCAGAGCAACAGCCACTTAAGTCAACATTTTTGGTATCAAACAAAAGTGATCTTCTGTTGTGGATAGCAAAACCTTTATTTTACAACCTTGTCTACAAGGATCTTGGCGACTTTTTCATATACACTGTTAAATTAACAGTGTTAAAATCAACACTATTCATCCTACGATTATTCTTCTATTAATAGAAGTTTTATCAATAAAAAGGAGAAGAGGCTGCCCAGGATAATTTATTCATAGTAAACTCATGCTAAATGCTAGTTATCTCTGCATCCTTTTCTCAGCTGTTACTTGCCATTCTTACTGATATGTAGTGCCCAAACCTGAAAGTGGGACCAGGAAGTCGGAATAAAGAAAAGGCAATCAACATTTTGGAAAGAAAACATTTCCAATTGAAACTAATTCAGGGGAAAAAAATTCCAGATAAAGACATTCCAATTTTTCTTACATTTTGTGACTTCCTAAACAGTTTAAGAACTTAAAAATAAATAAATCACTTCAGATTGTCCCAAATCTGGCAAGAGCATAATTATTCTCTTACAGTTTTGCTCAGATATAGTTAATACAGTATAAAAATAGGTCTATTTTCCATTTGGTTTCAGCCACTGTCAGAAGAAAGAGAAATATTTAACCAGAAAAAAAAAGCATTAAAGGAAAATTAAGTCAAAGACGACAGATCTTTTATCCAGGTTACCCAAAATAATTTTTTTAAAGCATACAAATGATGAGAATAAAATCAAATACTGTACTTTTATCTCCAGGTAAGATGGATCGGTAAAATCGGTCCTTCTTTTTCTTCTCCTCTGGGTTTGGAGGCAGAGGTTTAGAACCATGGTTTAGGGTTCCAGCATCTTTGCTGCCAGCTCCAATCATAGTGCTGGTATTTCTCATCGGAGGGGCTGGGGGTTTGTCTTGAATGTCTAGGCCGTTATTTGACATTGTCACCACCAGCAGCAGCTACTAGAATCAGAAATAAGAAAAATATAACTCCTTTATTATTGTTGACCAAAAGGAAATACATGTTAAAAAATTGCAAAGAATCAAAATTATACAGCCCTTCCTTCAGGGTTCAGCTCAAGTCCTTCCACTGCATGCCATGATATTGCTAACACTCACTGATGTAAATGCCTACTATGTGCCAAGCACTAATGAAAAATCACAATGTCTTGCTTTTCTTTGCATTCCCATTCTGGGACATTGAAGAGCATGGAAAACCATTACGATGTAGCTGAAAGCAGATATTTGGTCTAGCAAAAACTAAGTGTGAATCCCAGTACCACTTACTAACTTTAGAGAAATTCTTTAACCTCTTAGGTTTCATTTTTTCATCTATGTGAAGATTAAATAAAACTGCTAACAGCATTCCACATAGTGAGTTTTCTGCCAGCCTCTAATTTTATAACCTTAGACAAGTTACACTTTCCCTCTCGGGAATGGACTGTATCAAGGGTCAGCAAAGTTGCTGTTTTTGTAAATAGTTTTATTGGAACACAGTCACACCCTTCATTTATGGCTTTTTTTTTTACCCGATACTGGCAGAATTTAGTAGTTGCAACAGAGACTGTATGTCCACAGACCTAAAATATTTACTATTTTGCCCTTCATAGCAAAAGTTTGCTAAACCCTGAGACTATATAATCTCTCCAGTGTCTCCCTCCTCTAAAATTCTACCTTGTTCTTTACAAAGAAGAGAGAGAGAGACAGAGACACACACACACACAGAGAGAGAGAGAGAGAGAGCGCGAGAGAGGATTCTTGCTCTGTTACCCAGGCTGAAGTGCAGTGGTACAATCATAGCTCACTGCAGCCTCAAACTCTAGGGCTCAAGAGATCCTCCCCACTCAGCCTCCAGAGTAGCAGGAACTACAGGCATGCGCCACCATGCCCGTCTAATTTTAAAAAATTTTTTTTAGAGACAAGAGTCTCCCTATGTTGCCCAGGTGGGTCTCAAACTCCAAGTCTCAATCAATCCTCCCACCTCAGTCTCCCAAGCAGTTGGAATTACAGGCAAGAGCCACTGTGCTTGGCTTTCTTCTTCAAAACATAAAACGGTCAATGCAGTAACCATCCTGTCCTAATATGGTACAGAATTTACTGGCAAAATCTCCACTACTTCTGAGAAACAGTAGAATAAAATCTAAAAGATAGGGGATAGGACAAGCACGGTGGCTCATGCCTGTAATCCCAGCACTTTGGGAGGTCAAGGTGGGCGGATCGCTTGAGGTCAGGAGTTTGAGACCAGCCTGGCCAATATGATGAAACCCCCTCTCTACTAAAAATACAAAAATTAGCCAGGCATTGTGGCGGGTGCTTGTAATCCCAGCTGCTAAGGAGGCTGAGGTAGGAGAATCACCTGAACTTGGGAGGCAGAGGCTGCAGTGAGCCAAGATTGCACCACTGCACTCCAGCCTGGGTGACAGAGGGAGACTCTGTCTCGAAAGAAAAGAAAAAGAAAAAGAAAAAGAAAAAGAAAAAAAAAAGAAAAGAAAAGAAAGGAAGATGGCGGGGGGAATCCCTATCACATGTTATCAATAGTTTTAATGAAAATATGTTATTACCTTAAAATAAATAAATGTCCTTGACAATGGATAGATATGAATGTATCCAGAGTTAAAAATATTTCTCATTAGTCTTCCATGCTGCAGTAGAAATTATACATTTAACCATGACTATTTAAAATATAAGCTCTTTGGAGTTAAACACAACAGTACTTTAGAGAGTAATGAGTTTAAAAAACCAGCACAATAATCACCAAGAGCTTTTAGAAATATAGATATCCTGGCTTGGCCCCCATAAATCTTGATTTAGAATGGCTGAGTTAAGGCCTAATTCTGTATTTTGAAAATTAGTGATCCCAATGCCAGTCAGATTTGAATACTACCGCTTTAGACATCAATTACCTAAAATACTATGAATAAAATCTATAGGAGTTTTGTTTTGTTTTGTTTTGTTTTTAACAATTTCTAGTAAAGAATTGATTCCCCCACATCCAGTTTTTTTCCGCAATCCTTTATCCAGGGGCTGTCAGGAACCTTAGAACACACTACTCTTCTACTTTTAAAACCCTTCATTGGCTGGGCACAGTGGCTCACGCCTATAATCCCAGCACTTTGGGAGGCCAAGGTGGGCAGATCATGAGGTCAAGAGATTGAGACCATCCTGGCCAATATGGTAAAACCCTGTCTCTACTAAAATGCAAAAAATTAGCTGGGCATGGTGGCACGCACCTGTAGTCCCAGCTACTCAGGAGGCTGAAGGAGGAGAATCGCTTGAACCCGGGAGGTGGAGGTTGCAGTAAGTCAAGATCGCGCCTACACTCTAGCCTGGCAACAGAGCGAGACTCCGTCCCGAAAACAAAACAAAATGAAAAACCCTTCATTGACATCTCAGGATAAAAGCTGATGTTTTTAGCTTGCTTTTAGAGGCCCTCTGTTATTTGACCAAATGCACCCAGCCTCATTTCTCACCACTACCACTCCCTCTAATTTCCCTTACACTCTATCTACATCCAACTTCTCCAACTTCTTCAAGTATCCCATAGCTTTTACACTTCTATGCTTTTGTGCATGCTGATCCTTCTGCCTAGAATACCAATTTCCCTATGCTTCAACTGTGAATTCACTCATCCTTCAAGGCTTAATTCAATTGTTATTTCTTCCATGAACCCATTTGGAAATGTGTCATCACTTCAAGAAGTTAGGTGCCCCCTCCTCCATGTTCCCAAAGCAATGGCTAACTTTCTAGGTTATCCCTTTTATTATTGCTATTGTAATTGTTTACAGGTATGTCTTCCCTAGGAGCCAGAATGTTCCTCAAATATTGGGCCCAATTTTGTCATCTTTGCAATCCAACAATACTTTAGATAGTATCTAGCTCACAGTGAACTCAAATATTTTAATTAATCACACTTTGCATAAAGATATATACCTTGCCTTTAGGAAGTTTAGTACAGATAAAATTCAAGGTGCTTTACTTTCTGACATTGACCTGCCTTATCAACTAAGCCACTACACCTAGACACAGCCTAATTCAAACTAATTCAAACCTCAGAAATCTGTTCCACTGTACTTGCCAAGTATTCTTACTTATTTACTTATACACACACACAGACACACACACAAACACACACCCCAATGTGCTTCCTGTCAATGATTTCTCCTTTCTCTGACTGATAAAAATCTTACTCATCCATCAAGGCCAAACCCTAACCCCACTTCTTTGCATAATTCATTCTGACCCACCTTTGGCAAACCAACTGCTCCTTCTATTTTTGAACAAAAGAAATCAATCAAGCAAGGACAATCTTGTTAATGCAGATTAACTCTGTGATGTGCTTTTTATCCATTTCTTCCAGTTTGTCTTCCCAGATTTACCTTTGTTTTCCCTCCCAACTATAACTCAAGTCCTTAAGCACCCACAAGAGAACTTTTACTGTCTCAGTTCTCAAGTGTACCTTCCCACTCCAGGCTGCCAGTTCCAAAATTACACTCCCTGCAGTCATCTGATACCCGAGTAAAGCCCTTCCTTGACTCCCAGGTCCTTCAATCAACAGTTTCATTGAATGTAACTCCATTTCAGGCCCACAGCCCACGATTATGCCAAGAAAGGTTTCACCAACCTTCCTGATACAGACTTTTCTCCATTTCTCAGTGCTTTTACTGTATTTGGAGAATTCTGTGGTAGATATTCACTTTCAAAGAGATTCCATTATTCCTTAAAACCTAAAATATGCATTGGAATCTAATATTTGAATTCTTTTACTGCATTCCAGCCTAGAAGTCATCCAGCCTATGCTTGAAAAGTTGCAATGACAGGAAATCTAAAATCTCCAAAGACTATCTATTCTATCTTCAGTCATCTCATTTAATGAGTTATCACTTATAATAAGCTCTGTCTTACACTGCATTGCAATAATTTGTTTACATATTTGCTTTCCCTTTCACCCCTCCCCTGCTAGACTTAGACTATAAACACCTCAAGAACAAAGTTCATGTCCTATGTATTTCTCGATCCGCAACACCACGCCTGGCACAGAATAGGTAATCAATAAAGATTTATTGAATAAACAAACGAATGAATAAACAAAGAAAAAAGTTCCATCTGTTAGTACTAAATCCTGTATCTTAGAGCTATTCAGAAAAGACCACTATCTCTTCCCCAGACAGAACTTTAAATACCTGAAATACTCTTTTGAGACCCCCCCAAATCTATTTTCTCAATGTCAAACATTTCCAGGACCTTCAACTACACTCACAGAACACAATTTTGTGCTTTCTTAATCACTTCCTTCTGAACTTACCTAAGGTTTCTATACTACTTTCCAGGTTCCTTGCAGCCCTTTCCTATAGGTTCTCCACAAGTCTTTACTCTTTTTACCCTTATTGATCCCCTCAATGGTCATTCTGTATATCTACACTCACCATAATAATTAGCACATTTTAAAACCTATACCATTTTAAACTATGGGAAAACAGGTCCAAAACAAGAAACATGCTCAACTTTTGAATAAGGTGAGCAAACACACCTTAATCTTCTAACAGTCTCTGTAGACCAAAAGTTTGGAAGGATGAAAAACCAATGCCTCAGACATGCTGCAATATAAAGCTAGGGATGAGGCCAACATTATGACAGCTCAGATAGCACCATTCTATCCATCGTGGACAACAAATGAATACAACAGACAGAGAGAAAGACACAGTGATCACATTTTACCAATGCCCCAGAGGCTCAGGGAACCTAATAATTTATGAGCAACTAATTATATTGAAGCATTAATTATGAATCAACTGAATGACTCTATAATAAATGCAGGATCACTGTGAGGTTTCAAAAGGTAGGGCAATTTTTTAAAAGATTACTGGAATTAAAGTCACGAGACCCAGGTTTAAGTCCTGGCTCTGCAATTTATAAGCCATGGCCCCTGTAGAAGTCCCATCACCTATGACCTGTAATTTGATGTT